AGCCAAGTAAAAGCTGTTTTTCCGAGTAGGAACACATAACCTGAAGTACTTTTTCGGTCATCAACATCACCACACCAATCACTATCCGAGTAACCCACTAGTCGGTAGTCATCTAATTTTGAATAGAATAGATCAAGTGATAAGGTTCCTCGAACATATATCAGAATTCTCTTTAAGACCTTCCAATGTATGTAACTTGGATTCTCCATGTATCTGCTCGTTATCCCAACACTCAGCATTAAGTTGGGTCTTGTGCTTGTAAGGTATCTCATACTTCTGATTAAGCTTCGATATCTCCCAGAATCAGCTCGTTCTCCTCCATCAAACTTTGAGAGTTTAGTGCCTGGTTCCATTGAAGTAGAAACCGGGTTACAGTCCTCCATTTTAAATTTCTTTAAATTTCAAGTGCGTACCTCTCTTGGGATATAAAAATTCCTTCCTCTTACTGCTTCACTTTTAGGCCAAGAAAATATTTCATTAGTCCTAAATCTGTCATTTCAAACTCTTTCTTCATTACCTCCTTAAACTCCTTAATTAGCTTCGTGTTGCTTCCAGTGAATATGAGATCATCGACATAAAGAGCGACTACCGTCATATATTTTTCTGATTTCTTTGTGTACAAAGCATGCTCATATGGACATTGTTCATACCCATTTTTCTTGAAATACCCATCAATTCTCTCATTCCAGGCACGAGGAGTCTGCTTCAGCCCATAGAGAACTTTTCTTAATCTCAGTACCTTTTTCTCATCTCTCTTCATGTACCCGAGTGGTTGCTCAACATACACCTCTTCCTTCAGCACTCCATTTAGAAATGCCGACTTCACATCCATCTGTAGAATCAGTCATTGATTCTGAACAGCTAATGAGATCAGAAGTCAGATTGACTCCATTATCGTGACAGGAGCAAATACTTCATCATAGTTAATTCCCTTCTTTTGTTTATAGCCCTTCACCACAAGTCGAGCCTTGTAACGTTCAACCTCTCCCTCAACATTCATCTTCTTTTTGTACACCCATTTTACTCCAATGGGTTGAGCTCCTTTAGGAAGGTCAGTCAGTTCCCAAGTTTTGTTGCATTCAATCGCTCCAATCTCCTCATCCATGGCTGTTCTCCATTTCTCATCTTGGACAGCTTTTTCAAAACTCAAGTCTTCAGAGTCAGCCAAAAGACATACAACATAAACTTCATTTGTAGTGTCGTATATTTCCTGCAGACTTCTCATCTTGGGCTGTTGTGGCTCTATTTATTTATCTGAGGACTCAATGGTTGTTATTGTTGAAGGCACAACAATTTCTGAACTAGTTTCTTCTCTTGCCGGGTTACTCCAGCACCAATGTTTTGTTTCTTCTACATGAACATCTCGGCTTACCACCACTTTATTATTAACAGGATCAAACAATTTATACTCTTTAGATTTTCCATCATACCCGATAAATATGTACTTCTTACTCTGATCTTCTAATTTAGTCCTGTGCTGACTTGGTACTTGCCCATAAGCCACGCTACCAAACACCTTCAGATGAGAGACACTCGGTTTCATACCACTCCATATCTCCTGAGGCGTCTTCTCACCTAGCTTTGCATGTGGACATCTATTTTGCAAATAGACTGCGCACTGCACCGCCTCTACCCAAAACTCCTTTGGCATATTCTTCCCTTTCAACATAGATCGAACCATATCAAGAATGATTCGATTCTTTCATTCCACTACATCGTTTTGCTGCGGAGAATATGGGGCAGACAAGAAACGTTTGATCCCATGTTCCTCACAGTATTTGTTGAACTCAGTAGAAGTGAACTCGCCTCCTCTATCAGGTCAGATTGCTTTGATGACTTTGTTTGTTTCTTTCTCCACCATAACTTTGAATTTCTTGAAAGTTTCAAACACTTATGACTTCTCCTTCAGAAAATAAAACCCATGTTTTCCTTGAAAAATCATCAATGAAAGAGAAAAAAAATATCTCTTATCACTGAAAGATTCTGGAGTTATTGGCCCACATAAATCAGTATGAATCACTCCGAGTTGTTGCTTTTCTCGACACTCAGAACTTATTGGGAAAGAAGTCCTCGCTTGCTTCCCAATCACACATTCTTCACAGAACCTTTTTTTGAATTCCATTTTAGGCAATATGAGCACCATCTCCTTTTTCACCAGCGCAGTCAACCCACCAAAGTGAAGATGATCAAACCGCAAATGCCACTTCATGGTCTCATCCTCCATATCAAATTGCATACATTTATCTTGAATTATTTTCAGCTCAAGTTTGTACATGCGATTTTTCTTCATTCCCACTAAAGCAACAAGCCTCCCTAATTTATCCTTCATTTGTAGTTCTCGGTCCTTCATCAGAACTGAGTACCCCTTCTTCATTAACTGTCTCATGCTCAATATGTTGCTTTTGAGATCAGGTACGTAGTATACATCTCTGATATCTCCGATTTGCCAATTTCTCTATTGATACCAGATCGTTCCTTGACCTTTGACAACTACTTTCGAAGCATCATCAAAAGAAACAGATCCTGACTTCACCTTTGAAAGTATTTTGAATAAGCGTTCATCACCACACATGTGATTACTAGCGCCGATGTCTAAGTACTAAACCGAGTTATTAGAACAGTTCGATTTGATCTCAGTTTCTGAAGTGTTTGTCACCATCAGCAATCCTTCATCTTCTTCCTCAGCAAGAAAGTTTGTTGGTTCCTCTATTTTCTTCTCAAACCTACAATCTTTAGAAATATGACCCAGTTTTCTGCAATTATAGCATTTTATGGAGTAACAGTCCTTGACAACATGCTCATTCTTTCCACAATTATAGCATTTTACCGAGTAACAATCCTTGGCAATATGCACATTCTTCCCACAATTATAGCATTCAATATTGTTTGTGTTTGTCCGGCCACCCCGAGCCTGTCCTTGGCCACGCCAGTTCTGTTGACCGTCTTGCTCATTTCCTCGTCCTCCTTTTCCTCTACCACCATGACCTCTGTTTTTTCCTCGGCCTCTGGTACTCTGAGTATAGAGCACCTTCTCCTCTTTTATTGTCACCTTTTCCTGGAGAGCCTGCTCAAGGGACTCCCCCTTCTTGTTTTTCCTTCTCTGCTCATGCGCTTCTAGGTACTCAGCAAGCTCTTCAAGGGTGAGCATTGGCAGATCCTTGGACTCCTCTATTGCGCACACGATGTTCTCGAAATCATCTGTCAATGATCTCAAAATTTTTTCAACAACTCGGTTTGATGAAAGACTCTCACCATTCTAATTCAGCTTGTTCACCACGGTCTCCACCCGAGTAATGAACTCGGATACGCTTTCAGGCTCTTTCATCCCCATGTTTTCAATCTTGCCCCTAAGGGTTTGAAGTCGAACTTATTTCACCCTTTCATCTCCTTTGTTTGCTTTTTCAAGTGTATCCCATGCTATTTTGGAAGATTTTACATTAGCTATCTTCTCAAAGCCAGATTCGTCGACGGCTCGGTATAGTAGATACAGAGCCGCCTTGTCTTTAGCTCAAACGACCTTCAATGCGTTCAGTTGGGCATTTGAATACCCATCTGTGTTCGCCGGTTCCTCATACCCATTCTCGACCACATCCCAGTTATCTTGGAAGTCGAGAAGAGCCTTCATTTGTACCTTCCAGTTGTCATAGTTGGTGTCTTTCGTCAACTTGGGTAGCGGGATGCCATTGATTAGACCTTCCATTTCCTCTCAAGTGTTTGTACTCAACTCACACACCTCACAAAGTTCTGAGTCACTTCTCTCTCTTTCTCAGCCAGTACACACTGTGGCGTTCTCTCTTGAGACTTGGTGGACTCTCTCACACTCACCTCACACACAAACTCTGAGACCAATTTGTTGGTAACATGAAAACAAAACAACGCTCTCAATTTTTTTATTGATGCAATTTCAAATGAGTTGTTACAATTATTTATGGCTAAAATATTAACCTCTTCAAATGCCAAACGTAAATCATAATACCACTCGTAATTAAAACCATTAATATTATTTTAGGAATACTAATAGTCTAATTTAAGTTTTACAATAAAAAAAACATTTGTTCGGCGGCGTAATTAAATAATTGCGATGAAGATTACCGCCGGCGGCATCCTGAAGATTGAAGTTTAAATTGGACATGGCGGAGAAACCGAGTGATTGGGAAAGAAGAAATTGGAGAAGAAAATCGCAAAGAAAGAAGGAGGGAAAACTGAACAAAACGATGAATATTTTCTGAAATCTCAGTGCGTATATATATAGCTTATTTTTTGGTTTTGGAGCGTAAGGAACGTTGAAAACAGTTAAATTAGTTATAAACTTAGTTGAAAAGTTGAAGAAGTAGCTAATATTTTTGTTAAACCAATTTATTAAATTATAAACATTTTAATAAATTTATTCATTAAAAAAACTATAAATACAAAATGGGTAAACATAATATGTTTATATAATAGATGTTTATTTTTTAAAGTTAAATTTTAATATATCTTCCTAAAAAAAGTTCCTAAAAAAAGTATTAATAGTTAAAAAGAAATTCTTATTATAGTATAAACTACTCATTATAAAGTAAATTAATACAATTTATATGAATTAAAAGACTTATATATTATAAATTAAAATTTTAATATCATTATATATTAAACATTTATTTTAAAAAGTAATTATATAAAATACACATTTATGTAATACATTATACCACCTAAAATACAAAGTTAATGAGGTATGATTCTACTTATTTTCATTTATAAACTCACTCTTTAAATTAAATCTGCCATATATTAATATTGAAATCAATTAATTTGGATATTGGTAACATCTGTTGTATTTTAAGTCTGCATAAATAATGTTTTAATTGCAATATGGAGGGAATAAGGAACTAAATACTGAAACAATTTTGACCAAAAATTTAGGCCATTGGAAAGATTGTGGGAGAATGAATTTAAATGCGCAAGCCTCACAATGTACGTCTACACTTGATTCAATTTTCCTAGCTTCATGTTTCATAAGAAAGTCACTTGGTTTCTGAGTGCTGAAATTTGGATTTTAATGCTTCAATAACAGCAGAAAAGTCCTGATCACTAAGGCCATGGGATTTTGCAACTTTATATAACTCATTAGCAGCTGCTGCAATGGGAGTGGATTGGGAAACAGACTCTGCTAATCCCAGGGCTAGTCTTAGATCCTGTCACCATTAATTTTTCATGTGTGAGCAAAGTTATTAATCATCAAGTCTGAAAGTTATACAGCAGGAATGTCAACATTCACACACCTTCTGCTGATGCTTTAGTGGGAATGCAGTTGGGTAAAGCGACTGTATCATGGATGGACCTTTGGTTGAGTACATTGGAGCACTAATGGCACCCTGTGAAACTACCTGCAAAATTGCCATTTCATAAAGGCTCAACATCTTTTTTAAGTACTCGTGGCATGACACTACTCTTATAAACAACAATGAAGATGAATCTATAACAAATTAGAAACAAATAGAAAATTCCCCAATATGAAATCCAGGAAAATGCTTTGTTGACCATATCAGGTGGGTTTATTTCATGGAGAAAGAAATAGCCAAATACCTGCACTAGTACATCTCGATCAAGCCCAACTTTCTCGCTGAGAAGTAAGCCTTCAGAAAAGGATGCCATCATACTATGGATCATTGGAAAATACAGAAAGAAATAGTGTCACCTTAATCATTAGTGCAGAAGGATAAGTAACAGCAAAAGCAGGAAACAAATTGTAAAAGACCTGCCCATGATCATATTGACAACGAGTTTCATTGCAGCTCCATTTCCAACATCACCAATATAAAATTTAGACGGCATAGAAGCATAAAAATACATGAATTGATTATGTGTCTTGCCAGAAAGATTAGCGAATTTTATTTAAATAAAAAATAGAGATATACTTTCCCCATGACGTCCAAGAGAGAAGCAACTGTTTCATAAAGATTTTTTGTCCCCTGAAATATATTATATACATTGCCTCAGTTTCTGTAAGTGCTCAATACTCTGGTGAGAATAAAGTCTGATGCATTCAGAATGGTACGCAGTGTTAATTATGCAAATGGGACCTATAAAGGAAAAAAAATCTTTACAGTATAACCTGTTTATAAGTTCATAATTTTAAATATCTGCAGCTACCTTTTATTGCAATAGGTGTTACAACTTACATGTCACATCACACCCCGAATTTTGTTCTTGTGAAAAAATACACATCTCCTCAACTATTTTCCCATGCCAAATTGAATTAAGTTAGTAGTTGAATAAGAATATTCACCTGCTGTAAGAAATACCAATTGCCCATCTTCTGCTGGCTTTTTTGAACCTGAAACTGGAGCCTGTGGGTACATAGAAATGTCATTGCAGGTGTTACAATACAACTTACAAAATCATTTATCTAACTGTCCAATTAAAGGCAGCAATGCATTTAAGCATATCCCAATTACATAGCACCCTGAACGCGCCAAAAAGGATAGGTATGGGTTAAAAACTATGAAAAATTGCACCTCTAAAAATAATGCTCCAGTGGATTTTATATGCCCGCTAATCAATTTAGAAGTGTCCCCACCAACAGTTGAAACATCACGTAGCTATAAATAGATAATTAAAACGAAGGTCTATCTCTCATTTTGCCATTTAAAAAAGTAAACAATTAAACAGGCATATAGTGAACGAAGATATGCAATGTCTTGATAACTATGGAAATATGGTTAGTCTATAATCAAACTAGAGATAACAATTTTCAATGAAAAGATTAAGGAATGAGGAGGGTAAAAGAGCATCACTCTGTGTGTGGCTCAGAATCAAATTTGATTTCAAATGCCATTACATGTCATATTGAAGTAATATACAAGAAAAAAATTAAAATTGAGTTTAAATATAACACCCTTTCCCTGAACCCATTCCGTTCACAGCTCCATGCTTCCCACAAGCAACATCCAACTGATATGAAACAGAGTTAACCAGCTTAGACACTAATATATAATCTTAAAAAAAAACTACAGCAAAGTATACGCACTACACTTTGAGGATCAGCAGGCAAAGGTGACATCGCAAGATGCTGCTTCTTCCTCAGGAGAGGGTTTATATCTGCAGAAAATAAATACATAGGTTTTCAAACACATATTGAATTTGTAAATGTAGTTCTTCTCTTTATGAGTCTTTTCGAACGCAATTATCATCCGAAAACCACAGATACACAAATACGACATTACAATCTTGTATAACGGACTTACTTTGCTCCAAGGCTGATTAAAGGGTCACACTTACTCTTGTTAATGAGCTATGATAAGGGATAGATAAAGAAAACTTAATAAAGTTTTTTATAAGTATTATTAGATGAAGAAATTGTGTTTTAGATTAATGAGTTTTAGTTTGATTTTATTGCAAGTTGTAATAAGGGTCCAATTGAAAATTTAATTATTAGTTTTTGGGAGACCAAGAAGGTATATAACTGATTGACTTTTGATTGCTACAATTTCAGTTACAATAAATCAGTATATAATTTTCAATTCTTAGGTTAATAAATCATTATTAGTCTTTATTTTCATTAATTAGTTTTCAATTCCTAGGTTAATGAATGATTAGTAGTATTTATTTTCTTTTATTGAATGTGTGTAATTTTGATGGTAAAACTTCTATATAGGTTCAACTATTTTTATCAAAAATAATAAATTCAAATTTTATTTTTAAAAATATTAGAATTTATCTATTTTATCTCTGTAAAAATGATTTTTCTAAGTTATACTTGAGTGATTCAAGAATATTTGACTATATTAAAAGACTTTTACATTATTTGTGAACTGATTTCTTTGGAAAGAATAATTTTTTCCACTTTATTACTAAATTCTTAAATTTCTTATAAGATTCTATCCTTACAAATTTTAAATATCTTATGTTATTAATTTTAAATATCTTTATGTTATCAAGATTCGTATTCCAAGAAATGAGATCACACTCTAAAACAATAAAACCATAAAAAGGAATGTTAATTAATAAGAAGTGCGACGAAACAAACAAGGATGAATAAAGAACAACAAGAGAAACAAAAAGATAGAGCATGAGAAATGCACTGAGAGTAAATTATCCAGTTTCAAGGAAATTATTGGCCATTGGGGAGCCCATGATTCCGATGCCCAAAAAGTCAACCCGTGCGGGTGGCTCGGTTACTGAAAGCAGAGGGGACAATAGAAACTGAAAGGAATAACAGTGATAATATTATTCTTACTAGCTTCAGCCCGTGACCAAACATATGATAAAATGGGAGCCGAGAAGCGCTTCATAATGATCATGGGTGCATGGTGCACACAGATGTGCTCATTCTCAATACCACTATAGATAAGAGGGAGGACCACTTATTATTATTATTATTATTATTATTATTATTATTATTATTATTATTATTATTATTATTATTATTATTATTATTATTATTATTTAAATAATGAAGATTTTCTATTCAAATTTATAAATAATATAACTAATATATCTGGCGTGTAATTGTTTTATGATTTTAATAGAGATAATATGAGAAGAAAAAAAGTGTAAATAAATTTTAAAAAGTCATATCAACAAATTAGATTCATCGAATAGAGATTAAATCGAATTCAATTTAAAAAAAAAAATCTGAATTAGAATGATTGAATTAATTTAGGTAAAATTTTACATTATCCATAAATACCTATTAAAAAATAATTAGTTTTATCCTGATTTATTAAAATATATTAATTATGATATATTCTTTAGAAAAATTAATATATGTATTTTTACTTGTGTTATTAAAACATGATATATAATGTATTCAACAATTTAGATTTAAAAGCTCAAATTTTCATTTTATTTTGGAAAACTAAAAGTTTGAGTTCTTATTTAAAATAACACAAAAAATGGTAAAACACAACAGAATAAAAAAAAAGAGAAAAACTATTTAATACCTTATTAACAGGCATCTTGGCCAAGTTGGCCTTCACATTGGCAAGAGTATTGGAACTCTTAATTTCAGGGTAATGGTTTATTTTTTATTTTTCTTATGGAAAACAAAATGATTGAAAAGCTTTTATGTTTATTTTTTTAAAGAGGAAATGTTTTGTAGTTATCCATTTTTCTAAATTTTAAACAAATTTTTATGAAATACAAATAATTGAAAAACTTTTTTATGTTTATTTTTCTAAAGAGGAAATATTTCGTAGTTATCCATTTTTCTAACTTTTAAACAAATTATAATCATCGATATCTATAAATAAAATAATTTCAAATTTTGTTCGAAAATTTATAAAAAAAATAATTTAAAATTCTTTTCGAAAATTTACTCTATGAAAATTTATGGATAAATTATTTAATCATACCTTTCATATAATCATACATTTCATATAATCATACCTTGATTTTTCATTCTCTCATTCTTTCTTTAGGATATATTAAATATTCACCAAAAGAAAATACAAAAATCATAATGATTATCATCATCGACATTTATAAAGAAAATAATTTCAAATTTTGTTCAAAAATTAAAAAAAAAATTCAAATTTTGTTCGAAAATTTACTATATGAAAGTTTATAGAGAAATTATTTAACCATATCTTTGATATAACCCTACCTTTATTTTTCATTCTCTCCTTTCTCTTGGGTGTATTAAATACTCACCAAAAAGAAAATACAAAAATCATTCATCATCGTTGTAATCATTATCATCATTGTAATCATTATCATTGGCATTTATAAATAAAATAATTTCAAATTTTGTCCGAAAATTTATAAAAAAAATAATTTTAAATTTTGTCAAAAAATTTACTCTATGAAAGTTTATGGAAAAATTATTCAATCATACTTTGATATAATCATACCACCATACCTCAATTTTTCATTCTCCTTTTTTGTCTTGGGTATATTACCAAAAAGAAAATACAAAAATAATTTATCATTATCATCGACATTTATAAAGAAAATAATTTTAAATTTTATCCAAAAATTTATTTTATGGAGAAATGATTTAACCATACCTTTGATATAATTGGTTTTTCATTCTCTCATTCTTTCTCTGGGTTATATTAAATACTACCGAAAAGAAAATACAAAAATCATTCATCATGATTATAATCATCATGATTATAATCATCATTGATATTTATAAAGAAAATAATTTCGGCCGTCCCGAGGCTTTTCACTAGGCGAGACAATCGTCCTAGATCTCAGACGGTCGTCCCGAGGCTTTTTCCAAGCGGGATGACCGTCCCAAAATCCTAGATGGTCGTCCTGACTGACAAAATTTGGGACGATCGTCCCGGCCTCTTGGAGCAGTGTGCCTATAAATAGGATGCCATTTCTCCCCATTTGGACACATCTTGCAGAGAATTCTCTCTTCTCTCTTACTCTGAAACATTTTCGGGCATTTTTTGGTTCATTTTAGAGTCCAAGTAGTCTTTCCGATTATCCTTTTGGATTAAATTGGTTAAGAAAGTCTTTTTTTGAGACATTTGGTGCTCGATAGTGTAATAATTTTATTTTTCATGGAGTGCCTGTGTAGAGAGAGGGGATTGCCAAAAAGCATACTCAAGTTTTCAAGATTTATAAAAAGCCCGTTTCGGAGGTTTTTTTTTCCTTCTCTTTTATCGCTTTTCTTTGTATGCATTAGAAATTAGGGTCATGTAGACATTTAATTATTGTAAGTAGATGAATAAATAGGGTAAAGACATATTTTCTAGAATCTTTATTTTTCGAATTAATTTGTCATAGGGAACTCGAAAGGGGCACTGTGGGGTGCTAACACTTTCCCCCACACGTAACTAACTCCCTTGCTCAGTTCTGGTTATAATGGTTAAAGTTGGTTTTCTTAAAACCAATGCTTTTTTTTTTTCTTTTTCAATGTTTATGGTTAAAATATTGATGGCTACTCCTTAGAACCCTTTTTACGAAAATCTCACATTTAAGGATAATTTGGTTAACAAGCATCCTAAAAGCGATGACCATATTTTAGAAAACGAGAGTCACAAAAAACCATTGCGTCACGACAACTCGCCTTTTTCAAGTTTCCCTCCTTCGCGGGAAGGGACGACGACAGATGACGACTCCACTAGGGAAGCCTAGAGAGTTGATTCCATTTAGTGATGAATTAATTCAAAGTAAAATAAAAGATTTAAAATTATGCTTTTACCTTTCCTTGTATGAATAACATGTTTTATTTGTATGGCCGTAATAACTGTTGTATGTTTATTTTCTGTAATTGTTTGAAATACAAACTGTATACAAACCATTGCACACAACAGTCCCTCTATACCCGGTGGCATGAGCGAATAACCTTAGGGAGTGGGTGGCATTTATGGACGACCGTGGTAATGACCTTAGTGCCAGTAGGCCGTTGTCGGAAACCACCACTCAAGGTGATAACACTCATCTCTTAGTCTGCAGGACGTCGACACGACCTTGAGCCACACATGGTTTGAGGGCTGAGAGACCGTGGAAACCCTATAATGGGGGCACCTTGGGACTTGGCCTTTGTGAGAACAATTAAAATCTACCCTTACCAATGCACTTTTCTGCAGGATACCCCTACCTCGTGATTAAATGTCGTCGCTCTGTTCGTGGATGAGTGAATTGTTTGTGCATATGTTTGTTGCATTTGCATAGCATAATCATACAACAGCTAAAATAAACAAAAAAAATTCTTAAAACAATCTTATTTTATAAAAAACCCTTCTACTATGATCAACCTTATCTTGGACAGTCTTCATTTAAGCTAGCCTGGTTTCAGGTTCTTTGAAAGCTAAGTAGTCACGTTGACCGACAGAAGAGATAAGAAGTCATAAAAACAAACAAAAAACTTTTTGCTATAACCAAATTTATCTCGGACATTGTTCATTTAAGCTAGCCTGGTTTCAAGTTCTTTGAAAGCTAAGTAGTTGCGTTGGCCTACAGAAGAGATAAGTAGCTATAAAAACAACAAAAATAAAAAACATAAAAATGACAAAATGTAATAAAACGATTTCGCAAAGTCAAAACATTCATACCCTCATCATTTCAAGAGTGGTAAAAATAAGAGAGAAAATAAATGCATAAGGAAGGTGTTCATACGCCTCATCCTAATAAAGTCTCTCATGCATAAATACATTCATTCTAGGGGAATTAGATATCCTTAAGACAAAGGCGAAAGAGACCCAAGTGCTTTTGTAACCTTCGTTATAATTGTCAACATATGACAAGGAAAGGGCAAGTGTGCTAAGGTGTGGTAACCTTCGTAATACTTGTTAATCCGTGATAGGGAAGGAACCATTACACCAAACTAGGTGTGGTGCTCCATGAAGCGTAAGCTTCAAAGATACCAAAGCCATTGTCTTAAGGCATATCCATCCCACACTAATAATTCATTTCAAATAAAAACCCTAATTCATGTTGCATTCTAGAAAGTGGTTGGTCTTCCTCCTATCCTCACCCGTGTGCAAAAATCTAAGAAGATGGAACAACTGGAGGAACAAAAACGTAAGCTCACTACTGAGCTAAACTCCATGAAAGAGCAAATGACACAATTAATGGAGTTGATGCACCAACAACACATCCACAAAAAGGGTCCTCATAGTGACCACGCCTCTCATCACGAGGAAGAAGAGGAACCCGTCCATGAGCATGAACAGGGAGTTCATGTGCAGCCTGATAGGAGGGTAGTGTTCATCCAATCTCCCAAGGTCTCCAAGCAACAAATTTCCGCCATAAAGGAGAGACTAAGGGCTATGGAGGGACACTTTGACGTGAAAGAGGCGGCCAACATGTGCCTCGTCAAGAATATCCGATTTCCCCCCAAATTCAAGATTCTAGATTTCCCTAAGTACATGGGGATGACTTGCCCCAAGAGCCATCTTACAATGTACTGACGTAAGATGGTTCCATATGCCAATAACGAGGAACTCCTGATCCACTATTTTCAGTAAAGCTTGGCCGATTTGGCCTTGAACTGGTATATGCAACTAGAAGGGGGACAAGTCCTAACCTGGAAACAACTGGCAGACGTCTTCCTTTGTCCCTACAAATATAACATTGACCTAATTCCGGATAGGTCAAATTTACAAGCTCTGAGCAAAAAAAAGGCGACGAATCCTTCAAGGCATATGCTTAGCGTTGAAGGGAGTTGGCCGCCTAAGTAGAGCCCCCACTTTCAGACAAGGAAACGGTGTCCATATTTATTAACTCGTTGACGGGTCCCTATTATTGTAGATCTCAAATCTTGCCTAGCCTTGCAATAAGTTCATAAATCCTCCATTTTGAAGATGTTCAAGACTTTGATAGGTCCCTAGTAGCATTTTCT